GAAGCAACAGTGATGACCGCAAGCTTGAGAATACTGTCAAGCCAAGCTGATTCCAAACACTTGGGAGAGCTTTACAAGGAGTGGACTGAAGCTGGAGTCAGTGCATCAAGAGTCACCACGCTCAGATGTCTTCAGGAAAAGGGCTACCAAGCCACTTCTGAAACAGAAACATCAGAAGCATCTTACCTGGGCTAAGGAGAAATAGAACTGGACTGTTGCTCAGTGGTCCAAAGTCCTCTTTCAGATAAAAGTACATTTTTCATTTTCATTTGGAAATCAAGGTCTGGAGTCTGGAGGAAAACTGGAGAGGCACAGAATCCAAGCTGCTTGAAGTGGTGCTTGACTGGCCAGCCAACATGCCTGACCCGAACCCCATATTGAATCTATGGGATATTTTCAAGAGAAAGATGAGAAACAGTCGATCCAACAAATACAGACGAGCTGAAGGCTCAATAGTGCCTCAGCAGTGCCACAGGCTGATCGCTTCCATGCCACACCTCACTGATGCTGGAATTTGTGCTCAAGGAGCCCCGACCAAGTATTGAGTGCATAAATGAACATACTTTAAAAAAATTTAACTTTTCTGCTTTGCAAATCTTTTTTTTTTTTTTTATTGACCTTAGGAAATATTCTAATATTTTGAGATACTGGATTTTTGACTTTCATGAGCTCTAATCACCAAAAAAAAAAAAAATTGACATTTTTTACTTGTAATGAATCTAGAATATATTTCAAAAAGTTAAATTTTCATAAGTTACAAAAAAAAACTTTTTCACAATATTCAAATTTTTTTAGATGCACCTGTAGAAAATAGATTTGTTTCATGCTGACTTTAAAATGTCAAGAAATTAGATAACAAAAAGTATCTTTTAAAAACATCTCTGACCACATAACTAGCAGATGAGTAAATATTAGAAATGTTTATTGAACAATTCAATTTTGATGATGACAAATGGAACAAGGCAAATTCTATTGGAGTACAAAAAAAATGGGGTTGTAGGAGATGAAACAGCAGTAGTATTTTTCTTTAGTCCATCCTGGCCTTCAGGGTACGTGTGGTTATCTTATCCTTCTCACTGTAAAAAATATATATATTCTTAATGTATTTTTTATTCTTAATGTTTTGTGCAGATTGAAATCAGTTAATTAAAAGTTAATGATTGTCATACTATCACTAAGGTTGATGACATTTGATGATATACTTACATGACATGAACAACGACTCCCATTCCAGACACTGCATCCCTGTCAACAGCGTTCAGCATGGCCTGAGAGATGGTCTCAAATAAATCCTCTGGTTTCTAGAGAACACAATCAACAGCAAAAGTCTATGAGATTACCAGACCTAGATCATTAATCAGCCTTCATACCCAATACAGTTACGTGGTCTTGTTTCCCTTCACCTACCATGTCAGGTTCCCACAGGGACTCGCACATGCCGTACATCTGCTCTGAGCAAGTTCCACTCACAACAAAGTCTTCTGTCACCATTGGGCATCCGATAAGGTCAAGGGAACAGATGAAGGGTTCAAAGGTCTTTGGGTCCAGACCAGCAATCACAGGCTCGATGTAGTACGGCCCAAACCTGAGACAGGGACATGACAGATTGCAATTCTGTACACAGTGCACATGGGAATATTCTATTTAGCAATGAACTCTTTGAACTCTGGAATGCAGCGAAATTGCATACACATTGCTTAGTAATTATAACAACCCACTGACTAGTTGATTTTGAAAATATGTAGGTTTGCAGGATCCTATTAGAAACTGAGTTTAGTAGGCCTAAATACTACAAAATGTGAATTTGGATCAGTTGGGTTCCAGAAGTAAACATCCTATTCATTTTCTTGACAGGGGAATTGATTTTGATCATTTATAAACTTCAAAAAGATCTACTGTGAGCTATGAGGTTGTTATTTGATAATATATACTGTTATTGAAGCCATCAGCCCACATTATTTTAACTACTTTAGATAATCATGCTCAAAAGTAGAATTCCTGGTGATTACCCATGATTCTGCTGAGAAATTTCCACAAATCAGAGAATCGAGACAAGCAAATCACACCAAAAGAACACTTTAGAACCCACCCGGTCCCATGAAGCACTGGGGGTGGTAGAGTCAACAGTTTTATATTTCTCCATTGTTTTTAATTTGAGTGTGTAGTTTGCAATGCTTCATGGGATTGTGGTTTCTCTTCTTTATTAATGTCATTAAAGGGGTCATATGATGTTGCTAAAAAGAACATTATTTTGTGTGTTTGGTGTAGTGAAATGTGTTTATGCGGTTTAAGGTTAAAAAAACACATTATTTTCCACATACTGTACACCAAATACTTTGTTGCTTCAAAACAAAGTTTGTTGTGATTCACCCTATAGCTGGCTGGTTTGGTTTTAAGGCTTATAACTCTTAAACACTGTATCCGAATATGCCTACTTTCATACTTGTAGCAGGCGAAGAATAGTATGTGAAAAAAGAAATATTATGTCCAAGTTCATAGTATTCCAAAAACAGTATTCTAAAATTACCCTAAGTAAGATGCCCTACTACTTCTGTCTACTACTACTATCCCATGGCAGTGAAGTGACACAACTGACACTGGTAGGTCACTTGACAGTAACATCATGCCAGATGTAGTACGTCCAAATTTCATTCATACTACCCATATTCATACTATATAGAACATAATTTTTAATTACTTTAAAATCCCTATGGGAAAAACACATTCAATACAAGTGAGTGGGCACTGTAGCACTATTACAGTTAAGGTCAACAACGAAAAACTATTTACCACTGATTGAATGCATTTGTTGTTCCACTAATTCCCTTCCATTTTCAGCAATTGGTTTTCTCTTTGCCAATTAACAGAAACTAGCATGTACAGATGTGCATTTTTACCTCCTCTCATACAGAAGGTTGGACACCATGCTCATGAAGGTCTTTGGCTTGATCTGACGACCTTCCTTCAGCTCATACAAGTTCAAGCGGAACTTCAGCCTTTGAGATCTAAAACGAGAGAGAAAGGTAAAAACCAGTAGGTATTTAAAAAGAAAAACGACAAGTGCTATGTTTAATATCAAATATTCGAATGCATCTGACACTATTCATACACTGTCTGTACATCTGTGGCAAGGCCAGCCAGCCCGATGAAGAGTCTGTCTCCCATAGGGAAGATTTTCTGGAAGTCGGTGGTAACCAGCTGTGCCTGGATGCCAAACCTCCGGTCTGATGCTATTGCCACACATTCCTTTCCACGCATCGCCATGACGGCACCTCCATTATATGACATAATAGACTATGGGAAGATGACAATAAAACAACAAAACTTATAAGATTAAACAACAGCACTTTTCTATACAGTCTGACTAGATATCATATACATATTTGAAACAGTTACTATATAGGCTTAAAAAAAAACTAAAATGCTTATCATTGTATAACATATACATATATCACAAAGATCACTTACAGAACAGGATAAGAAACATGAGATAGAGCAAAGCAATAAAATACATTTTCAAACAAAATACAACAAATAGAGATAGTTTAATGAAAAGTTATTTTGTATGACTAGGCACTTTGCAAATGTTATCCAACTCCACATCTGAAATGCGTATAAAAGCTAACACATTTGATCAAAATGAGTTCATACTGAATTCCCCTTTTAATACCGATGCAATTATGAACATCATGATTTAAAATACGTCTACACATGACTGATCACCATCCATATTTAGCCCAGGCATCCAAATGCAACACTGTTAGTTTCGTTTTAAATATGATCGACTCAAATAATCCAGCTCAATAGTACACACTCCATATAACTAAAGCTTATTATGCATGTGGAATGCATTTAATTAATTCATATTAAAAAGCTAAATAAGATGCAGGTTAGGACAAATAACTTTATAAATACTTTCGCCTGGAAAAATGAGATGGCAAATGAGCTAACGTTACTGTGCTAATAAAGACGGTTACATTCAACAAACACTTAATTCTTCAAACGCGTTCACTTACCATGATGGCAGATGTAATAAGCAGGCACCAATATGAGAACTATTTATAAGATTTGATTATGTTATGCTGAAAATAAAGCTGTAGACCGGGTTACACACGGTGACTACACACTTTCTTTCAATCGCTGCTAGTTGTTCCTGCTGCTCACGTCATTTCCGACAGCAGCGGTCCCTACAGCGCCCCTGCTAGACAAAATCATTACACCACCACCTACTGTAAAAAATGAAAAGCATAAAGAATTCAAATCATTTTCGAATCCTACCCATTTCAAGCATTGCATGGGAGAATTTGTGATTCACTTTTAACGGAAAACAACAAACGTGTTGTAGTTTACGATAGGGGGCGCCAGTACGCTGTAATTCATTCTCACCCACAGGAGCAAAAGGACAGGAGAAGAAAACACAATGCTAAACAAAACAAAAAATTAAAATGGACTCAGAGGATGGAGTCTTTAAATGCAAGTAACACGTTTTACAGCAAAATGTATCGGTTTATGAGTAGCCTGATTTTTTATTTTATTTTTTTACCTTCCTCACTTCCCAAAACGTAATTCTGCAACAGTAACGGCATGTTGATTCAACAATATCGCGAATTTGTCAATGTATGTGATTTATTCAATTTTCAAGTGGTGGTCAAAGGCAAATATGTTTACCAGTCGTCTCTGTGCATTTAGGGACTGATGCCAACACGGCAGATCTGATTGTATGGAGAGTCAGTAACAGCAGTCTGTTTACAGGCAGGAGAAATGCAGCCATCAAAGCCTTTGAGTCAGTAAATTCAGTCTTGACTTCACTGAGTGCTGTTGTGCCTTGTCAGGTACACGTGTTTATTTGATGCTGTTGATCTGTCAATCTACAGGCTGTATGTGAAGGAGAAACAGCTGGTGGGGAAAGTGACGCCTGCATGGGTTAGAAAGAAGTGGGAGAATCTAAAACAGAAGTATAAGGTGATGTCATGCATTTATTTAGCTTGTTTGCAAGTCACATGTCTGTGGAAATCCATCCGATACAGTATAAATACTAATTAATTACTTTGCTTAAAGATAACTTACGTCAAACATAAATTATGGGACTTTTTGTCAGGATCTATTAATTTATTCAAACATACATTTCTGTGTTATTGATTTGTGATTTAAAAATGTTTGCCAAGTCATGTGCTGCAACCTACATGCAGACATAAATTTATCAAATAAATAAAATGTAATTATAAAATCATCTCATAAAATATATAAACTATAAAAAAAAACTGTTTTATATATAATTATGCAGCCCTCTAGGAACACCTTGGCAATTGAATCGCCATTGGCTGGTAAATTTTTTTGTTTACTCACCAGACTGATAAATATATACATACACATATACATATATACACACACATACACATACACATACATACACACACACATATACACACACACACACATACATATACACACACACACACACACACACATACACATATACACACACATATACACATATACATACACATAGACCTGTCGCAATAATCAATATATCAACTTATCGCGCAATATATGTACAGTGAAAATATATCTGAGCTAAACTTATACTTAGCCTCCAACTCACACACTGGCGAGTAAAATCTGAGAATTTATTAGCAATTGGCTAATATTAGACATCATTTAGTCGCCAGAGTGAAGATTTAGTCGCATATGCGAGTGATTTACTCGCAATGTAGAGGGTTGTTATGTAATTAATGTGTCTTGATTTTATAATCAAGATGTAAGGAAAATGTTGATGCATGATTGATTAATTGAAAATGATATAAATTTTTAATTACACTGAAGAATCAACACCAACATAATCATGGAAAACTGCTTAAAATGTGTCTATTTAAATATATTTTATATGTATTTAATTATTTATATTATTTATAATATTTAATTACTTTTTCCATTTATCTATTTTTTTTTCTGCTGAACATTGGCAGCTGCTGTGAATTTTTCTTTCTTCAAACAAATATTTGGCATCAATATTATCTTGACAAGTATCAAGTTTTTCAAAACCATATGAAACAAACATTTCTGAAAAGAGTACATTTCTAAGAACTTGGTAGACAATTTAAACTAGGTTTTAATTTAATTTTTTTTAAATTCACAACACTGTCATTGACCTATAATCATTTTGTCTTTGATAATTTACTGCAGGACCTCAAAAGCCTCAGTATGGTTGGGGGAGACGCATCAATTGCAACCTGGAAGTGGTATGCAATCATGGATGAAGCACTGAGTAGCGAGACCCCCCTCAACCATTTCATCACGCCTGTCCAAGTGTCCTCATCTGCTCAGGATGCTCCACCCATCAAGCAGAGAAAGGAAGAGGACTGGCTGACAGCTGTGCGGGAGATGGAAAGGAGACAGGAGGAACGAGAGAGGCAAGCTTCAGAGAGAGAGGACGAGAGAGACAGACGAGCTGCAGCAAGAGAAGAAGAGCGAGACAGACGGGCTGCAGAGAGAGATGCTGAAAGAGATCGAAGGGCTGCAGAGAGAGAAGAAGTGAGAGAGAGACAGACGCTGGAGAGGGAGGAGAGGAGGGAACGAGAATTATTTGCGAGACAGGAACGGTGGGAGAAAGACATGCTGACTAGAGAAGAAAGGCAGGAAAGGGACTACAGAGAAAGAGAGGAGAGGAGAGAAAGAGAAGCTGCTGCTAGAGAAGAGAGGCTTTTTAAGCTCCTTGAGACATTTATGGCCAATAAGTAAAACTGTTACTGATACATTCCAAGAATTGCTTATTTTCTACAAATAAACTCTTTTGCATTGCCATCATGTGTCTAGTTCTTTTGAGTCATAAAATTAGTAGTTCGTATTAGATTAGTCTTTCACAAATAAAACAAATACAAATAATTAGGTAATTATGCTAATAATAATAAACCAAAAAGCCCAAACCAACATGACGGGATTAAATAATTTATTATTGAACAAATTCAACAGATAGCAACACATTAGACAAAAATGAATACACCCACAAAGCAGCACACACAGAGACATATAATACCTGCTGAGCTTTTACATTCTGAATACAGTGCCGCCCACTTGGTAAATATGAGCAAAGGTGGCTGTGAAAATAAATCTGCATTGTTTATCCTTTCGATCTTTCATTCAAAAAAATGTACAAAATTCTAACCTTTCATTGAAGTAAAACAATGGAAAGTGGGGGAAACTCACATTATGAAATAAAAGTTCTTCTCTAGTTCACGTTGGCCATGGTTATTGGCACCCAATTATTGCAACATCCTTGTCCTAAGATAGCAGCTCTGAGTTTTCTCCTGTAATACCTGATGAGTTCGGAGAACACTTGACAAGAGATCAGAGGCCATTCCTTCATCCAGAATCACTCCAGAACATCCAGCATACCAGCTCCATGTTGGTGCTTCTTCACTTCAGTTCACCCCAATCATTTTCTATAGGGTTCAGGTCGGGGAACTGAGACAGCCATGGCAGAAGCTTCATTTTGTGCCCAGTGACACATTTTTGTGTAGATTTTGATGTTTGCTTTGGATCATTGTCTTGATGGAAGATCCAAACATGGCCCATTATAAGATTCCTTACAAAGGCAGTCGGGTTTAGATTTTTTATCTGTTGGTATTTGATAGAATCCATGATGCCATGCATCTGAACAAGATGTCCAGGACCTCCGGCAGAAAAACAGGCCCACAACATTAAAGATCCAGCAGTATATTTAAACGTGGACATGGGGTACTTTTTATCCCTGTTTGCACCAATTGGGGGGGATTTCTGACCCCAAGATTCAACTACTCTGCAATTCTCCAGCTGTGATCCTTAGAGAGTCTTTGGCCACTCAAACTCTCCTCCTCACCGTACATTAGGACGATATAGACATGTTCTCTTCCAGGCAGATTTGTAACATCTTTAGTTGATTGGAACTTCTTAATTATTGCCCTGATTGTGGAAATGAGGATTTTCAATGCTTTAGCTATTTTCTTACAGCCACCTTCTATTTTGTGAAGCTCAACAATCTTGTTCTGTACATCAGAACTATATTCTTTGGTTTTACTCCGTGTGATCGATGATTACGGGAATTTTTGTGTTCCTCATATTTACAATCCTGTGGAACAGGAAGTCATGGCTGGACAATTTCATGTTCATAATCACCCTGGTGTGCTAAAAAATGTAAATATGAATAGGAATATACTTCAGAGATATTTTATTCATAAGAATTTCTAGGGGTGCCAATAATGGTAGCCAACATGCATTGGAGAAAAACATTTATTTCATAATGTGAGTTTCCCCCCACTTTCAATTGTTTTACTTATATGAAAGTTTAGAATTTTGTGAATTTTTTGAATGAAAGATCAAAAAGATAAACAATGCAGATTTATTTTCACAGCCACCTTTGCTCATATTTACCAAGGGTGCCAATATTAGTGGGCGGCACTGTACAAGGGTGTGAGACATTCAATTAATACTCTAGTGACTATTTTAACACAGAATGTTATGTAGAAGAATTCTGAAAAAAACAAAAAAAGTTTACAGTATAGTGTATTTTATAGTCAGTTTAAGCATTAGTTGAATTACAGGTTAACAGAAGAATCAACACCAACATAATCAGGACAACAGCCGGGAAGATACTTCGAATATTTCTATTTAAATATATGTATATATATGTATTTAAATATTTATAATATTTAATTAAGTTTTCAGTTTTTTTCTTATTTTGTTCCCGCTGAAATTTGGCAGGTGCTTTGAATTTGTCTTTGCAAACAAATATTTGGCAACAATATTATACAAGCATCTTCATATTTCTGAAAATAAAGCATTTATAATATTTATTCTAAATATCTATTTTTATATAATCCTCTAAATAAATACTTTAATAGATGACAAATATTTAGAATACATCTATATAATTACATCGTTTTTGTAGTTATAATTTTCACAGAATGCTTATCTCGTTTGATTTAAAATGACGTCATTTATCTCACTAAAGACTGAATGGTACATTAACGTTAATTAGCTTCATTGGTGTGTAGAATTATGCACAGTGCTTCATAAATGTGTCTATTAATTGCAAAGGATGTCCCATGATAGCTTAATATGCTTTAACTCCTTCGTTGTCAAGAGTTTACAAAAAAAAAGTTATTCAAGAAATCTGATCACAGGATTTCTTTTTCCACTTCCTGTTAAACTAGCACAGTATCCAGAAGCTGGACATTCTCACACGTGAGACTCGTCCAGATCCAGGTCAACAGGGGACAGGGGGAGCGGAGAGAGAGCGTGGGGTGTGAGCAGCGAGGTCAGGAGTGGGTTCTCCGTGCCACGGTCCTCTCCTGCACTAGAGGAGGTGTCCGTGTTTTGCAGAAGCCCAGTGGTCTCTTCGTCCTCGGGGCTTTCTCTGATCTGGGTTGGGGCCAGTCGGTATGGTGTACTCAGGATGGGGAGGGGAGGAGGAAGAGGGGAGCAGGCTCTAGAAGTGGAGCTTGAGGCAGCAGAGGGGGTTGGAGAAAGACTGCTTCTTACACTCCCCTGATCTTTCCTGTCTTTATTCTCATACTGAGAGGAGTAAATAAAGCAAGGGTCAGATTCAGAGGTATAAAAGGCTACATTCAATTTTAAAGACATGTCTCCATATAACACTCACGCAATGCACCCAATCATTTTTAACATTCAGAGAACATTCAGAAACAGCATTTCTGTTTCATTACTTAATTGGAATGATATCAAAATGCTCTTACAACATATTTTCATTAGCTGAATATAGACTTAAGCATGTGTTTAAGCAACAACTCTGCAAGCTTTCATTCAAACAATGTGCTCTGACAGTGGGTAAAATCAGACCTGTGGCCATGCCGGTTTGTGCTGGGCAGTTTTGATGCTAGGTGATGAGGACTCTGATGCGACGGAAGGAGCATGGCTCAGCCTCCCGACCTCTGTGACCCCTGGTAAGCCGCTGCTGGGGCTGGGAGTGGCAGTGGGAGATCTGCCAGCTGGTTCTTGCTGGGTCTCAGTGAAAGTGACAGACCTCTTTTGGTCACTGTGAGCTGAAGAAAAGATGACAGATTCATTAGACTCTAGAAATTCATTAGTATACACTATTACTTGATGCAGTTTCCTGGGAATCAAATTCATAACATCGTTTTTGTTAGCACTATGCACTACAGTTTGGACTATAAGAAACTCTATCTGGTTCTCATAGTGGCCATCTGAGTGGATGTACTTAACCCTATAAAACCATATAAAATTTGGAACATGGCTTTCTAATGCCTCTACATTATTCCTTTGGTCAATGCTTTAAAAAAAAAAAAAAAGGCTTACTCCTGGTGGCAGAAGGACCTTTAATATTATCTCCAAACTATCTGCCTTTTGCTAGGAAGTCTTTGTTGGTTTTGATAAAATATTACAAAATATTGACGTCTCAAAATTACTATTCAGTGGATTTAAGCCATGTAAAATAACATTTCATAGATTTTGAAAGAAGATTAGAAGTTGAAAAATGTATTAAAAATTATACATTGTGTATTTTAGGTATGTCTTTGTATATATTATGTCCACCAAAATAGCATAAAATAATATAATAATTCAATTAAGTTAAAAAGTCACATTTTATTTGACTAATTATGCATTTAGAGTGGATACTGATACGTAATTTTTATATATGCAGTCTGCTGTATAATTCTTAACATCTCAGATTTTTTATATAACAATGGTTTTGCAATCATAAATATTTTTATTTGTATTATTATTAATAATAATGTAATTTATTTGTGTATATTACATTAATATATTTATTATTTATTATACTAGGCATTAAATCTGCTGACATCCACAAAGCAAAACTAAAAGGTTTGTTTATAAACAAAAAGGAATTCATAGAAATGCTTTAAAGACTGCAATGAAGGGTTTTTATGTTGTGTACAATAACTTACCGATAATGATACACACAGATATTATATTATCCATGCTATAAACATATACTTATACACATAGTCCCCACTCATATTCATTTTCTTTTTTAATGTAATTACACAAACGACACACACCCCTGTCGAGTGGTTTACTCTTAGGCTGAATGCTCCTGCGGGTTGTTGAGAGTCTGGCTCCCTGACGTCCAGGAGACTTGTCCTGCACCCTCTGTATAGACAGCAGAGGTCGCCGTAGCTACAAGACACAGTGCCTCAATTTTATGCCTTGACATAATACACCGAATGCAAAAAATAAGACTGTGTTCTGAGCGCTCACCTGCCTAAGTCCTCTCTTACGACCGAGAGGTGGCTGGATTAGCAGATTCTGCTGTCCTGGTTCACTCTGCACGCTGGCAACCCTGCAGAATAAAACCAAAGGACAGACACACAAACAGAGCTGATGAGCTCGAACTGCCCGAAGAGCTGAACACAATCCCTGTTAAATCCTCCTGATTAATTGGAGAGTTAAAAGGAAATGTGTCCCATCCACAAATCCCCATTAGTCCATAGCCCTCCACCAATCAAACACAGGGACAGGGACGAATCAAGAAAGCATGAATCGCAGGACAGAACCTGCAATGTCATCCACAAAAAACTAAGGGGAATAGAGAAGCTGGTATAGCAGTGTGAGCAAGAGGATGTGAACATCCAATATAAACTAAGCCATTTTTGTACAAGAATTTGTCAGATTCATCTGATGTCAGATCAGAAAAAAGACATTTCTTCATGTCTAATTATCTACTTTACACCTGCTAGACCATACTTCCCAGCCCCACAGATTGGCCCCCCAGAGAGGAACTCCCAATTTGAGCAGCAAAAAGCCTGAAACATGAGTGGACACCATGACACCATGAGGCTCACTGGAGATGAGTACCACCACAAAGTGATAATCATTGTCCCTAGCCAAGAGAGAAAGAAAGACCGAAAGAAATAGTGACTTGGAGTGGATGAGAAGAGAAAGAGAGAGATCCTAGTGAGGAATTAAGTTGGATGTGATGAACAGGGAAGGCAGGCCCAGCCCTGGCACACAGACGGTGAGACACTGCACACACAGGGCCGTGACACTGTACCTAGACAGGTTACCCTCCTCCAGAAGCCCCTGGGATTCATCTAGCACATTGGGTTCACTGTAGAGTTGGGCAGGGAACAAGATTAGGGGAATAATAAGAGAGACATGCAACCCCCCAGCTGTAGATCAGCCCTCTCTTAAAGGGAAAGATATGGTAAGATTGGATAAATAAGGTTGTTATAGACAGTTTTCGGTCTGAATGAGCTTTAGTTGTGAAGAGGGGTGTCTGTTTACCTGTGACTGGGCAGCATGGTGCTCATGCCTGGTTCAGGCTGACTGGCAGCCGACCCTGTGGCGTGACTGGAGAAACGCCGCTGGGAAATGAGCCTGGGGAGGAAAGCTTCGTGCTCACTTACCACGCTGGGGATGCTGACGGAGTCATCTGAAAGCGACAGAGTAAGCAGTAATATGGATCATTCAACAATAACATTAGCAGGTGCATCTATAAAATTCCTCAGCAATAAAACCCATACATTTTATTTTAAACTTATCATGCTGCTTGAAAATATTTCAGTCACGAACCTCTAGATAATGCAGGCTGATACAGTAGGTCCTTTACATGCACTCTTAGCAATAATATAATTTACTATATGACACAAGCTGATTCTGCAGCCAATAAGATTGCTTGCTCAACATTTAAATAGTCTGGTTTAGTATTCGCTGTAAGCTGGTCCTGCAGCGTACTCAGTTGCACTGAAACCCTCCACCTCCCCCAGCTCCACCTGTCTAGATCTGCTACAAAATTTTATGTATGTCCATTCATGCATTCATATATGTCACATACTGTATATATTCATGAACAGACTGTTCTTTTAAGTCAGATCTTTTTAAATGAACAGGTTTATAAAGAAAGTGATGTCATTTGGAATGACATGAGGGTGAGTAAATGAATGTTTTGAGAGGAACCAAAGAGGATGAATCACACACTTTCCTCCTCCTCATCGGTATGACTGAGTGTGTCCTGTGAGGGCTGGCGTGAGGGTTGGCTCTCCTGCTCCCAGACAGTTCCTGTACCGGTGTTGGAGCGGGACATGGTGGCCAGACTCAACCTGTATGCAGAGGTGGACGTGCCAACAGTACTGATGGAAGTCTTTCCTTGGTATGCTGAAAAACGGGGAGAAATAAAGTCAAAGTCCCTTTCAAGGAAAGTCTGTTCACTCGGCGGCCATATTTCGAACACCTCCCAGGAGCTCATACAAGACCAAGTCCTATTTAAATAAATGGGGGAATCCTGAAATCTCAAAAACTGCTCACTGAACTCACAATTAAATTACACATTTCAAATCAGCAACAAAATCTGAAATTAACTGCCCCATGTTGGTAATGTTGGTTCTCATGCTCAAATAGTATTAAAAAGGCTTATTTTTCAGGCTAGACCAGCCAATGCGCATGCTATAACGCATTTATGATTGCGCATGCGCATTGGCTGCTCTAGCCTCATGCAGTGAAGCAACGACTTGACCAATCAGCGATTGGCTCTTTCATTTAGAAGGCGGGACTATTCTGCCATATTACGCGTTGCAGTTTCTCCCATTCATAAGTATAAGAGTGAACCGTCTTTGTATTTCTATAGTCTTTGATAAAGTACAGTTGTAACCCCAGGTTAAATCACAAAACCTGAATACCTGACACAAAATCACGTCCACGTAGACTGCACATTTTGCATGTCTCCTTTGTCTGACACCCATTTCAGGTATTGAAATCTCTACTAATGAGCTGATGACCCGAATCAGGTGTGATTAAGTAGACTTGCAAATTGTGCACTGTTGGGGGGCTTCAGGAACGTAGTTCAAAGTGTGACCAATTTTACTGAGAGATAGTCTGGGATTACAAATTTAAGAATCTGTTTTAGATCTACTGATCCTATGTCCCGACAAACAATCACCTGAAAAACTAAGGTGAAATACATTGTATTTAGCATTTATGGTAAAGATGATGACATCAGATGAATGCTTCTGTTGAACAAAGTTTGTAGCAAGAGGTTCCTGCCAGTTCCTCTTCTCTTATTGTAAAACAAATGAGCCAGATTACAGAGACTCTCACCTTTTGTTTGTAATGGCTCTTGGTGCAATTGCCCCAGTTTTCGAGTAGTTATGCTGATTGGATTAGGACTGGTTAAATGGGACAGGTTGCTACACCTGAATACTTCATTTGCATGCTTTGTTTAAGGTCGTCACCCAGGTGCTTTGTCTCAATTTCTAAGCACTGCCCCCTAAATGTACATAAACTACAATGACACCCAACAGTCTCCTGGCCTTCACTTCCGAGGGGCCGTTTACATGACATTTTCAGGCAAAAATGGGAAACTTTTTATGTGTTTTGCCTGTTTGTTTACACGACAACGGCATTTTGGGGACTGAAAACGGTCATTTTTGAAAACAGGTTTCAAAGTGCAAGTTTTTGAAAACGCCACCGTTGTCGTTTCCGTGTAAACACCCAAAACGGGAATCTTTGAAAACGGTGATGTTATGAGCGTGCGTAGTACGTGTTAGGTATGTAGACATGCGCAGTACGTGTCGATTTTAAAGGCAAGCGCGAACAAACATACACAACAATGGCGGAGTACATGGTACTGTTGTTGCTGCTCAAGAGTTTGCTAACGCTTCTTCAGCAAAGTGTGGATTTACTTCACCAATATTA